CCCTCTATTTTTTCTCTCTAGTTCAGATTTATTTTAAGATTATTTTTTTTACTAATGTTTACGAACTCGAATTTACACAATGAAAACTGTAACCAGCTCCCTTCATTTTCCAAATCACTCTTTAAACTTTTCTACTTTTCTCTATGACTGGAGCCAATTTTTTTCGCTTTACATTTGAATTCGAGATTAACTTCTACCAACTATTACGAACTTCGGAGAACTTTCAATATGCAATATGCAAATTTCCCTTATTTTTTAGGTCATATTTTTCTATGACACTATTTATTTTTTCTCTCCTTTGCCATGACAGAATTTATTTTCTCTACTTTTTCTCTACTACTTTTCTGTACTTTTCAACTTTTTCTATGACAGCTTCTTCTTTTATTTAATTTTCTACTTTTTTCTATGATGTTATTTATTAGTGTTTTTCTCTTTAATTTTCCTTCGAAACTGCCAACCATTACGAACTTCGGCGAACTCTCCCAAAGCAGTCTTTAACAAATTCCCCTCAGTCTTCCAAATCACCTGTTCTATGACTGCATCTGCTTTTACTTTGTACTTTTACTGCTACCTCGAGATTAGCCTCCGTCAATTATTGCGATCTTCGGCGAACTCACACACTGCAGTCTTTAACAATTCCAGATTTTTTTTATGTCCATCTACTTTTTTCCACTATTCTCCTTTTCTATGACTCATCTACATTTCCCCTTTACTTCTACTTTGCTAACTTGCCATCGTCCTCCAGATCAACAAGCTCTTCCTGATCAACAACGAGCTGATGGGCATCACCCGCAACGCCTTCGCCGGCCTCGAGTCCTCACTGCAGCACATCTACATCAAGGACCCCGGACTCTACGACATCCCCTTCGACACCCTCGACAACCTGGCCAACCTGAGGACCTGCGTGCTGGAGGACACGGACATCATCGAGATCCCGAGGTTGTACTCACTCTCGAAGTTGGAGTTCCTGAAGATCGACGGCTCGAGGGTGAGCTCCATTCCTTCGGCGGCTTTCAGGTTCATGCCCAACATGAAGAAGGTGCACATTTCGAACAGCCTTTTGAAGGAGGTCAAAGGGAATGCACTTGAGGGTCTGGTGTACCTGAAGGAGGTCAATTTCTCCAATAATATCATCGACTGGATTCATCCGCGGGCTTTCAGGACTCTCAACGCCGTCGAGCACCTGTCTCTCGCCGGAAATAACTTGTCTGACGCGGGCATGGCCGTCCTGGCAGCGAGGGAGATGAGAGAGCTCAGGATCCTTGACATGAGCCGCAACAAAATCGTCGAGCTCAAAAAGGGGACGTTCGTTGACATGCCGAACATCCGGACGATCAACCTCAGCGAAAACCTGGTCTCGAAGATCGACCACGGCGCCTTCTTCCGCCTCCCCTCCGTCCGAAAACTCGACATCAGCGGCAACGCGATCGGGGAATTCCACGCCGATATATTCACAGAGTCGTCCAATCTAGAGCACCTCAGCGTCGCTAGCAATAACCTTACATTCGTCGCTGAAATGAGGTACATCGCTCGGTCCCTCCCGAATCTAAGAAGTTTGGACATCAGTAAAAATCTTCTGAAAGCCGATCATCCAAGGGCATTCGAGGGGCACCCCAAGCTGGAGGCCCTTAAGATCGACCACAACAAGATTGAGAGGCTGCAGCCGGGGACCTTCAAAGGCCTCCCGAACCTGAGAGAATTATACTTGAGTCACAACCTGATCAGCAGTGACCACAGTGAACAGCTGTGGAACTTGCCCAAGCTCCGGGTACTCGACATGTCCCACAACGAACTACGAAAGATCGACGTTTCACTGTTCGAAGGTTTACCTCATGTTAGCAGTGTGGATCTTAGTTTCAACCTCATCACCGACATCAGTGCGGAAGCTTTCCTCGGCTCTCCTCAGGTGAAGAATTTGAACATGTCCTTCAACAGCATAGGACTCCTGCCTGAAAATGTCTTCCAGGTTCTCACAGAGCTGTTTGAACTGGAGATGAGTTTTAATGAGTTGACGGTTTTGTCCAGTGGTCTCTTCAAGGGGCTGACCAAACTGGAATACCTTCATGTCACCCACAACCAAGTCACCACCGTCGAACCAGGCACATTCAGAGACACAGGAAGCCTTCAGTACCTTGACCTCTCCGCCAATTTCATCCAAGAACTCCCTTCGGAGGCCCTGAGCAAGCTTGCCTCCCTCAGAGTACTAAAACTCAACCGAAATGCCATCAACAAGGTCCAGGACAGCTACCTCTCGGGCCTGAAAGCCATAGAGCACCTCGACCTCTCCAACAACCACATCCAGACGTTCAACCCGGCAGCCTTCACAGACATGACTCACCTTCGGGACGTGGACCTCAGCGTCAACTACATCCAGAGCCTCCACCCAGACATGTTCTCCTCCACGAAGCTCTTAGAGAAGCTCAATATCAGCCACAACTATGTTTCGAGCATCGGCCATGAAGCTTTCGTTAACCTGAAGAAGCTTCGTATCCTCGACCTCACAAACAACTCTCTCACCGATCTGGGAGACGCAGTGATCGACTTCCCAGACCTCCAGGCTCTCTTCCTCAGCGAAAACTACATCAACAGCCTCAAGAACTTGTCCTTCGCCGGCCTGCCAAGCCTCAGCGTCCTGCACCTCAAGAACAACGGCCTGCAGACCTTTGAGACGACAGCCTTCCACGGACTGAGATCCCTCGTGTACCTAGACCTTCGGAACAACAACCTGGTGGAACTTAATCCAGAGTCCTTCGTGGGTCTGATGTCGCTCCAGGAAATGCAAATCAGCAAAAACCAGATTTCCGTCGTGAAGGACTTCTCATTTTCAGACCTCCCGGCGCTAAGGAGCTTAGAACTGCAGGATAATGTGATCACTGAGATCGGAGGACGCGCTTTCCTTAACCTCCCGACCATGAAGTTCCTCAACCTCAGTCGCAACGGCCTTCAGGACATTCCCGAAGATGCCCTCGGGAGGATTCCGTCGCTCGATGTCCTGGACTTGAGCTCGAACTTTATCCTGGAGATCAAGGATTCCTCCTTCTATCGCCTAGAGTGGCTCACGGTGCTCATGGTAAGGATCACTGCTATGCACGTTTTTGTTTTACTCAATATTTATCTATCTATGTATATACATTCATACTTACATACATCATAGTTAGATAGATGCAGATACATGTGCGAGCACAGACCTTTTCGTTATTTTGATTCTTCCGATGCCCTGAATAACTAATACTGCGAAAAGACCTTCGGCATATTCGTATACTTATATGTTCTTCTTCTCGTTGAATTTGCAACGAGTGTTTGTGTGTGTGTGTGTGTGTGTGTGTGTGTGTGTGTGTGTGTGTGTGTGTGTGTGTGTGCGTGCGTGCGTGCGTGCGTGCGTGCGTGCGTGCGTGCGTGCGTGCGTGTGTGTGTGTGTGTGTGTGTGTGTATGTGTATGCGTGTGCGTGTGAACGTAAGTACAGCATTCTATGAATGTTCTTGAATCAAAGCATAAAACTCACAAAGCCTTCCTGAACCCCGTTTCCTCTCGCTTCCAGATGCACGATAACGACCTCTGCCGCATGTCGCCGGGGGCCTTCGCCAGGCAGCGCGCCCTTCGAATCCTCACACTCAACAACAACCAACTGAAGAGACTGCACCTCCACGCCCTCGGGAACACCATCAAGGGCCTGTCGCTCCTGGATATGAGCGGTTAGTATGAGGAGTACGAGGGTGTGAGGATGTATCAAGTTAATGAGAAATTTGCATAGTGAGTGAGTGGAAAAAATAGGCAGAATGAGTGAAGTCTGCATGATAAGATAATAAAAAAAAGTAAGAAGGATAATAGATCTGGGATATACCGAAGATTTATTTTATCACAATTTTTTTTTTTTGTAATTGCAAAGGAGAGGATAATTTACTGAAAAAATATTAGGCTATCCTGCGCCCAAACAAAATACAATAGAAAAATATCTAAAATGCAATCTATTCCACTCACACTAACAATAACACCGATATTACGAAGCCTGGAGGCCGAACCCTATAAAAAAAAACTATATTCTTTCACACGAACCAACAAATAAAATAAACAAAAATAACCTCGTTACCCCTTCCATCCCAACCCTCTCCCACTAGAACTAAATTAGGCATAACAAAATCTGTAAGAGGCACGGACAAGAATAAAAAGAAAGAAAATATGAGAGAAAAAATAAATAAAACAAAACAAAAGTGTGCCAAAAAACTCATTTATTTGGAGTCTTTTCCATTATACTTACACGGCGTATGTTATTCTGGTGTATTTAAGGTCAATATTATTGCATGAGCATAAGCATAATCACTCCTATATGTCCCTGAGAGCAACCCTTCAAACCTGCCCTTCTATCATACCCCCCTCCCCCCCCATGCAATCCCTCATCCATACCCTCATTCATACCCCCCCACCCATGCAACCCCTCACCTATGCCCTCCATAAAGCCCCTCCCCCCCCACTCATACCCTCCTCTATACCCCCGTACAACCCCTCATCCAAGCTCTCCATACACCCCCCCCACACCCATACCCTCCCCTATACCCCCCCCCCCGATTGCACCCCCTCACCCACGCCCCCCATACCCCCCCATTGAAACCCCTCACCCACGCCCTTGCAACATACCCACGCCCCCCATACAACCCCCCCACACACACAACCATACCCTCCCCTATACCCCCCTCCCCCCCGATTGCACCCCCTCAGCCACGCCCTTGCAACATCCCCTCTATACCCCCCCATTGCACCCCCTCACCCACGCCCCCCATACAACCCCCCCCTCTATACCCCCCCCCCCCCCGATTGCACCCCCTCAGCCACGCCCTTGCAACATCCCCTCTCATCCCTTTCCGCTTCCAGGCAACCCCTTCCGCTGCGACTGCGAGATGGTGTGGCTCCGGGAGTACCTCGGCGAGCCCCCCGAGCCAGGACGTGCCCAAAGAACCTCCATTCTCGGCGATTCCCTCAAGGGCGTGCCCGTCTGCGCCTCCCC